TTATTTTAGTATCACATCATTATAATTAATATTATTTTATATAAACTTAAATTTTTTTATATTTAATAATCAAATAAAATACTTAACAAGATACCTCTCATTTAATACATATTTCTAAACAAAGCTTTATCAAAAATCATATAATTATTGCACTTGAGATTTCGGGTTTAGTGACAACAAAACTACGTTAAAATACGTTTTCTCCTCCTTTGGTAACGATTCGAATCTGGTTCTTGTAAACATGTTAAAAAAAAATCGTATAATTATTATTTTATTTTACTCACATTTTATATTTTTAAATAAAAATTTTGAATAAAATAATTTTTTGAAAAAAAGATCTCAACCATTGGATTAAAAATTAAAGGCTTTGTCAAGGTCTGTTGGTTGTGTGAGAAAGTGGTAAGCATGCTTGCCATTGTCTATGCGCCTGCTAAAAAAAATTTGACCAAGCTATCTCTTTGTAGGAAAACAAGCTCTGTTTTAGGAAATGCTCCAACGGGAATAAAGTTTTATCTATGTTTTCTTTTGGGAAAGAAACAATGAATCAGAACTCTTATTGTACATATATATTCTAGTGTTGGAAAATGCACAATCCTGCGTGCGCGCGCACTTCTTGTGCGATGTACAATTGATGATTGAGACAATATCGATTGTCAAAGTAAGATTTTTGTGAAATTTGGAGTTCAATTGAATTGAAGATGGCGATTGCTCACTTGGGGTGATATATAGGTGCATAACGCGAAAGTCTGGAATGGCACGCCTACTAGGGATATATATATAGTGGTGGAAGCACATTGGCCCAGGTTAAGCATTTGCCCTACCATGGGCCAAAAAAAATTAAAGAAAGTAAAGGAACTAATTGTCTAAGCCCTACCTTATAGTTGGATGAATTTGAAGGAAAATATAAGATTTAAGATTTTAAGAAACTAAAACAAAAAAAAAAAAAAACACCAAAAGAAATTTAAAATATTAAAATGAAAAGAAAATTAAAAAAATAAATACGCAACCCCTACCTTGAATAACTAAAAGGTTAAAATCCCTTTTTGGTCCCTGAACTATTGTATAGACCCCCGATTTGGTCCCTGAACTAAACAAATCCCTAATTTGGTCCCTACTGTTTACCATTTTTACCTCGATTTGGTCCTTCCGTTAAAAATTGTGTGACGTGGCCTGTTACTTAACGGTTACCAGATGACATGTCATATAGTAATATAAAAAGTGATGATGTGGAAAAAAAAGTGATGATGTGAAAAAAAAATAATATAAAAAAATATTATGAAAAATAAAACTTAAATTTTTTTTCTTTTTTCTTTTTTTCTTTTTCTTTCTCCTTTCCCTTTCCTTTTCTCTTTCTCCTTCCCCTTTCTCTTCCTCCTTCCCCTTGGAACCCAGCAGGCCTGGGTTCCTTCGAACCCACCCAGGCGCTGGGTTCGCCTGGGTTCGTCGCCTGGACCTAGGTTCGTCGAACCCAGGGCTGGGTTTGACGAACCTGTTGCTAGATTCGACGGACCCAGATCGTCTGGGTTCGTCGAACCCAAGCGATCTGGGTCCGTCGAACCTAGGCAATTTGGGTTCGACCTGGGTTCAACGGACCCAAATCGCCTGGGTTCGACAAACCCATGCGTTGGGTTCAACGAACCCAGCTAGGTTCGAAAGAACCCATCGCCTGGGTTCAACGATCCCAAGCTCTGGGTTCCTTCAAACCCAGTGCTGGGTTCGATCGAACCCAGGCATTGGGTTTCTTCTCGAACCCAGGCGCTTGGGTTTCGTTGGCACCTAGGCGTTGGGTCTCTTCTTGAATCCGGGCACTGGGTTCCTTCGAGAACCCAAGAGTTGGGTTCGTTCGAATCCAGGGGCAAAAAAATTTCT